GGGGTTCTGGGTTGGGAGTGAGGGGTCATGCTGAGCAAATGGGGCCATAAATGGGTTTATGCTGAGGAAGAGTTTGGGAAGCACTGCCTTAGTATCTCCAGAAAGCTTTACATATCTCTGTTTCCCCTGGCATAATGAGGGCCAGGCAAGCACAGCAGCCGCCCCTAGCACTTGCTTTGCGGCAGTAGGGGGTTCTTCCTCCCTTCCTCCCAGCAAGGCAGAGCCAGGGAGCACCGTGCCCAGCAATGTTTCAAGAGGGGGAGAAGGGTGGAGTGACACCCCGTTCCCCTGGGAGGCTTCACCAAAGGGGATGAATGGGGCCCTGGGAACCCAGGCCCCTGCCCACAAATCAGTGGCAGCAGTCCAAGCTCCTGCTCCTAGGGCATGGATAGCTGCCTGTCAAGTGAGGAGAGCCCTAGCACGTCATATTGCCCCCCACCTGCCCAGCAGCACAGTTTCCCCCCCCACCCCATAGGCCAGATGAGCGGCCTGTGATCCATCCATGGGCTGGGTATCAGACCCAGCACATGCAGTGCCCGCTCCAGCCAGTCTCGGACCCACATTGTATACACTGCATGTGGTACGGTCCTAGGACTAGCCATGCAACATAAGGTCCGAGCCAGCCAGAGTGGGCACCAGATGTGACGCTCATCCCAGGCCCTGCGTTTGGGGCTGGTTCAGTGCTTGGGGTGTGTGGGTCAACTATAAGCCCCAGGGGCAGATGGTGGTGGGGGTTGGGGGGCAGCTGATGGTACTTCACAGTCCAGCTATGGCTCCCAGGTCATATCTTTGACACCCCATAATTAGTCCATAACAGTGATTCTCAAACAGGGTGCTGCAGCATCCTGAGATATTTTGAGAGTCCTTCAAGGGTGCTGTGGGATGCCATGCAATGGTGGCACTGTTAGGTGTGCAAGCACAGTTCACAAGATAAACTTGGAGATTTCAAATTGGAATCCTCAGCATTAAAAATGTTGACCTGTTGTGAAATTATTCTTTGCAGCTGAAGAACTGCTTTCTGATCTTTCCTATAGTCAAAACACAAGTGAAAGCTAAGAGTCAGCATTTTTCAAGGGGAGAGGGTGGCGGGCCTTGGGTCTAACGAGGGATGCCTTGTGTCTAAGGAGGCTGAGAACCACTGGTCTCCAAGCTGCAACTCTACCCTGTCTTCTGGCTGCCAGTGTGGGAGAGCAGATTGTGTGTCCATCCCTGGCTGCAGGGTGGAACCTCTGCCAGGATCCTCCTCTGATAGTACCTGTCTGATGTCCAGGACTTCCTTCTAGGGTAGGCCTTTGCTCAGTGGACTATTATAGGCTTCCTGTCCACTGACTGGCAAGGGCTTATGGTAGTGTGTATTGCAAATACCAATGTGTGGTGAATTGGTCGTTGTGTGTTCATTCTGGACACCAGAGTGGTTTTACTGTGGTGTGAATGCCAAGGTAAATTATTTCAGAATAAACTATGACTTGTGTTTGCATAGTTATATGGCTACCTTCACTAAGCTTTACCATGGTAGGGCAGCTGTTGGCCGGTCTCTGCTCTTTCCCCTTCTGTACTCACTGTGGTGCTAAAAGGCTCGTTGCCAGAGTGTGGAGTGACTGAACTCTTGGACCCCTGTGCAGGTCGCAAGTGATCCAGCAGAACCCGGTTGGCTGAGACCAGGATGGAAGAGTCTGATGGGGACCTATCCATTCAGAGAGGTGCCATCCTAGCTGAGTTGTACCATATTCGGATCACCACAACGAATCTGTGAGTCTGTCTGGGGAGTAGGGGTTGCTGCTTGAGCATGATGTTCTCCAGGATTGAAAAGGTTCCCAGGGTCCTGACATCTTTCCCTTCTGTTTTGTTACCAGTCCTGGAGTGTTAGGCAATTTAATTGACCAAAATGTAGTCAACTATCAGCCTGGCATCAGTATGAAAGTAGCCTATGTACAGGTAGACTTACTGTCACCCAGTCGTCCACCTAGTTCTGGGGGATTGTGGTTATTTTTACAAAAGCCATTGATCCATATGGCAAAGCTGTAAAGACAGAATGGGCAGGATTTCAGGGGCTCCTATTCTTTTTTTTCAGGCTTTGAATCGAACCAGGTTTCAAAACCATCTATCAGCTTTCTTTGTGATAGATTGCTGAATTTCCCATTGAGGTCTTGTGGAAAAAAAAAATCTATCACACTATTCTGAAGACTAATCACTCACACCTTTTTATAATATCTGCTGCAAATTGGGAGTGTAGAATTACTTTGAAAATCCAGTCCTGTTCTGTCCTTCTATCTCTTTCCTGCAGTGTTCAGTGCTTGTGGTTATTATCATTTATCAGTTATAATCCATTACTCTTGATAACCACAATGATGGTGAATTCCTGATCTCTTTTTACTTAGCAGAGTTTCATTCTTAATCATTTATTACTTGTGTAAACCACAGAAAAAAATAATACATTTGTGAATTCTCTTTCTTCCCCTCAAAGTTCATTCGAAGGGAAGTTAGCATTAATCTGCACACTGATATTAAGTCCTGAATGGATTCAGTGGTGTCTGTCTTAGCAGGATTTACAAAGTTTTTTTCTGAAATATCTGCATGGGGATGCCTCAAAAAATGTGCCAAGTTTGCCTGTTAAACTCAGGTTTATTTTAAATATATATCTCTTTATGCAGATGTTTGTTTTTCAGGGTTCAGGAGCTGAGATCCTTGGTGGCTTTAAATGATCCCCAGGAAGGAAAACTGATTCAGTCTCAAGAGACAGTGAGTGACTAGCAGACATTCCATGTCTATTTAATGTGTCCGTTAAGGAGAACCTATTTGAATAGTTTAGGTTAATTTTTTCCTATTTTAAAATTCTTACAGTGTATTAGGAATATTGTCCTGATTCTAGATATCTTTATTGCCTATGCCATTATGCATAGTATTTTATGAATATAGCTATTATGTTAGGAGGTAGCTTTACAAAAAGAGTATCTGAGTTGTGAATAGTCTTGAAACTCATAGTGATGCTAATACACAAACAGAGCAAGCAAAAGGAAAATTTATGTTGCATCAATTCTCCAGTATAGAGGGAAAAAATGTGTCAAATGGAAAAAGGATCATCAATAAGGGCTAGGAGTGATTCTGTTTTTTATTTGAAATATAAATCAGCTGTGTCCTTTTGTCTGCCTGTCTTTTAACACTGTTCTTCTTTGCTAGATTTCTGGTTCTATCTATTTGGAGACAACTGGTTGGAGCACACAATATGAGGCATGCCTGTGTAGAGAGGGGTCTGGTTTCAATTTGTGCTCCTTCCTGCCCTATCTTTCCCACCTACAGAAGCTTTCTTTCTTTCCTCTTTGTATAGAAATCTCTTATCTCCATAACTCTTTCTCAAAGAGAGCTGAACTAAGGTACACTTAGCCACTAGCAGCTCTGTTTGCTCAGCGAGCAGGGGTGTTCACATTAGAAGGCAGGAGAGCTTTGCACCTTATGCACTGACCAAAGCAAATATATAGCACAAGCTTTTATGGGCTGAAGCTCATTTCATCAGCTGCTGTGCTAACCAAAGTAGTTCTGATTAACAAGGCCAGCTGCATCTCTGGCTTCAGATTAACCATCTTCACCCTGGCAGGGATCCTGCAAGCAAATGATAAAGTGAATTTGGGGTTCAAACCTGTACTTCAACTCAGTAGGACATGATGTCATATCTAGGCCACTGACCTTGGTGTGTTGACAATGTTCCTATGATAAACAGTTCGTTATCACCTGCCCTGTAGAATTTGGGCAACAAAAATCACGCTGGTAGCTCAGGAATATAAGGGAATGGTTGAAAGAATGCTGTTAGGCCTTGGGACATGTTTCCATCCATTAATCCTATAGGATAAATATTGAGTGTGACCTTCAATTATTGCTGAAGGTAAGCAAACCAATCTGGAGGAAGTGTTTAAGAATGTTATGCAATATTTAGGCCTCTTCAGAGGCAACATACCTCAGCATCAACTAATGAATGAGATCTGCAGTTTTTAAGCAAAACTAGCACTCAGGTGAGAGGATTTCTAAGCAGTCCTGTATGCTGGAAAGTCAGTCTTCCCTGAAGATTAGCGCAGTAAAGAATATTTTTTAGTTTAAACAAGAATTGCTTAGGAGTCACTCAAGTCACAGAATGGGTGCAGGTGCCTAAGGTTTCCAGTAGTAATGCATAGCATGGTCTGGAATGTCTATCACGTACAATATCAGTGGAAATAATGAGAGTCAATATGTTGGTTAAAATAGCACAACGGAGGCCAGGTTGCTTTTCAGCAATAAGTGTAGCATGGGTAGTCCTTACACAGTGATTCTTCTCTGTTTCATTTTTTAGCACTATTTGGGTCAAGTGTAGTCTTTGAGCTTGGACTGCTGCAATGGTAACAGGGATCTGTCTCTTGGGATTTGGGTCTCATTTTGCAGTTGAGTTTATATTTGTTCCTTCTTACGCTAGGCTTTAAACTCATTGGACATTTGGAAGGCCTTATTTGCTGCTGCTGAACCTAATCCAGAGACTGCAGTTGAGTGACGACTTGAAAATGGAAGATAAAGATGCTGGCGAGCCCTTTATGGGTATAATTGCCAGTGAGGTCGCTGACTATGATGGCATTCAACCCTCAGACACAGTGTCACTCAGTGATTCAGACCCCGAAGACTTTGGTTTAGCAGATGAAGCTGAAGTTGATACAGTATCTCCAGAGGAATCTCTGTCTTTGGATGACGTGGTTTGTGGCTCAGGTGAGAATCCTGAGTCTTTAAAGATCAACCTCAAATCGCCTGTCCAGCCATTCCACCTAAAAGGCATGAGCTCTACCTTCTCCATGCGCAGCCAGAGCATTTTCGACTGCTTGGAAGGAGCAGCCAAATTGGCAGCACCCTCATTGGCTGAAGATAACATTATCGATGGGAGATTTAAACGCCCCCTACCCCCAGCCACTCTCCCTAGTAAGATGGTACCCGAAAGCTTTGGAAGGCAAGGCAAACCACCTCCGACTACTAAAAGCTCTCCATCAGTCCCCGACTATGTGACACACCCAGAACGCTGGACCAAGTACAGCCTGGAGGGAGTCTCAGAGTCTAGTGATAAAACCAACAGGGAGGTAGCTATGGAGTTCCTAGGGGGCTTGAAGAAGAAAGGGGGGGAACACAGCTCATCTGCCCAAGATAGCTATATCCCATATTTCAACCAGGACCCCTCCAGTTGTGGTGCTGGAAGAATTGTCTTTATGAAACCTACAAAGATGGGCATAGATAGTTTGGAAAGGAAAAGATCAGCAGGGGATGATGATAAATCCTTTAACACAAAGCAGAGCTTGAAAAGGAAATCTCCCAAGATGGCTGGTGATCTGAAGGTAGAGGATAATGTTGAGCTGGGGCATTTAGGCTCTGGAGAGAAAAAGGCAGAGGAGGGATGCTTGAACTTGAAGGACCTGTGCAAAAAAGGAGATCCTGGCACTGGCTCTGGTCACACAGGAGAAGAGGCTGTGGGGGGAACGGTAGGATTCCACAGTAGTAAGAAAAGGAATAGGAAGGTTTTCCGACCTAAAGTAGAACATGAAGAGGAGGACTGAGTGTCCTGAGAAGGAAAACAAAGAATACCCATATAAAGAGTTTAGTGTTGTTCTAGGAGACCACTTTCTGAAAATTTGTTTTTTTTCTTTCTCAGCCCAGCTTTTATCAGAACAGGAAATAGTAAGCTTTTATCTAGCATCTGTTCCGTGGTTTCCAAGTATTTGGGAGTTTTTCAGAAATGAAACTACAAAAAAAACCATTCCTGGATTGGCTCTGGCACATTCTAGGCAGCATCTGGTGGGGAAGTAATAGAGTGCTTTGTGTTTGTGAGGAAACCGTCTTGGCTGTCCCTGGTGCAATGACAAGATCTTGACCACAAGGACAAGCCATCTTAACGTAAGGGTCCAAGTGTGAAAACAAGAAACTCCTGTTTTCCCTTCCTACCAAAAATATGTAGAAATAGCTTACCAATGCTGTAGATTAAAAAGGAACTCACAATGTGGAGTTACAAAGAACTCGAGAAACCTTAAGGCCTCACTGAACTGAGCTGACACCGTGACCTGCCTCCAGAGAGGGACAACTTGTATGTCCTTTAGACTGGGGCATGGGCTCAATCATACCTCGTACAGTGCCACTAAAAATAAAAGCACAATAAGTAACCAACCATGGGCTGTGCAAACTAAACATTGTTACAGTGGTCTGAGTATTATTTTCTTTGTAATGTATTTTATTGGATGCATATTGTTTTATCAAAGAAATATAAGGTGTGTTAAGCATCCCTAGAAATATTCTAGTGAAGATATCCCTGAGGAGTGGCCTCAACTGACTTCTAGCATGCTTAAGAGTACAAGTACAATGTATGACAGTCTTCTGATGGGTCAGGCAGCCAGCAGCTCTGGCTGTGGATGTGACGTGATGTGCTGATGTCTCAGCTATAGGTATGAAACTGTTCTGTGAGGTACAGTGTTTCCATTTGGACTTGAAGCAGACTCCCTGGAAAAGGGAAGCCTTGTATTAGAGCGAGATCAGTAAGAGATCCTTTTTGTATTTTGAATGTCATTAAAAACATTTAGTCATAGCTTGGTTTCTGAGTGTGTTTGAACTGTATGTTTGTTAGCAAAAAAATAAAGCTTTATGGGTAATAGCAGCAAAGCATACATATAGTCTCTTATGGCCAGGTGGGAATTTTGGTGGCAGTCTTCCAGGATTTTATTCCAAATCTGTAGATAAACTCTCTTCAAAACATTTTTTCCTGTCTTGGTCTTCCTTTTTGTTTTTGACCTCAGGAAGGATTTACACCAGGGGTGTCAAACTCATTTGGCCCATTGGTTGAATTTGGACCAGAAGACTTCCTGTTCTCCTCCCCCGCTGCTCTCCTCTCACTTTTCTCCTGCTGCTGATTTTAGTTGTCAGGTGTGACTAAGCCCCTGATTTTGGTGGTGGATAAGGATTGGGTGGAAAGGTCAGGGACATTAACTCCCTGGATTCTGGAGCTGCACTGAAACACCCACTCCAGCAGCCAGATGAATTAACATTGCTGCCATAGGGCAGAAGGCTTATATTTGACACCCCTGCTTTACAAGATGCAAAAGGAACAGAATGAATGAGAAAAAGTTGTAAGAATTGTAAACGCAGTAAGTATTGAGATTACCTTTTTGGGGGGGTGTTAGGGAAACTGAGGCTGAAGTGTTACTTTCTTGGAGAGGAAACTCAGGATGTCCAATTTGGATCAATTTGATCTTCACCAGTGCCCTCAATTAACAATTTAGTCATCCATGTTACCATATTTATTACTGCTTACTGAGAGGTTACCTCTTCCTTTCTTGGAACTGGCAGTTTCTTTAGCTTCCTTTGCAACAGAGCTCCTTTGCTCCACTACTTAAGTTACTTTGGAGATGTTCTTAATTAAAAATGTTTGAAGTACCTGAAGAGAAAATGGCTGATTTCAGGGTTGGCATCATAGCTGCTTCTCGTGTAAGTGAACAGTGCATACTGCCTCATGTAAGATACCAGGAATTATTAATACCTTGTACATGATTCCCCAGAAAATCGTCCCTCCAGAATTGGGGTGCAGTATTAAGTGGGGAAAGTCATTTTTGGCACTGGAATGGAAGCATGGCTGGCAGCTACAGTTTTTGCTCCACTTCTTGCTGACCCAGAGAGGGAGGGGTGGAGTTTATTGTTCAGGATCAGAGCTACAGTGTTAACATTTTCACCACTGCCAAATTGGCAGCAGCTTTTGGCTGAGCAGTAAAGTATTCCCTGTGATAGCCAAGCAGCCAAAAGCTGCTGCCAAATCAGCAATGGTTATGAAAGAGTTAATGCTGCCACTTTTACTGATGCTGTAGCATTTACCCTGCCTCTGTGGTTAGGCCATGAATGGAAAAATCTTTTCTTCATTCTGCTTTCTCAAAACAAGGTGTGGAGTCTTATTTGGGGGATAAATAAGATAACACAACTGTGGGAAACAAGTTTTAGGTTCCATACACATATCTGCACCCTATGTATTTAATAAGAGGCTGAACCACAAAGGCAAATGAGTCAGATGAGGGGTAGAGGGCTGGTCTGTGGGCTGAATTAGGCCCACAGAGCAGCCTTACATGCTGGATCCAGCACACGAGGCCAGTCTAGCGCAAGTGCTGTGCCCTGCACTGGCCCATGTACTACTTACAGTGCCCATGCCAGCTCCAGCCCCATGTACCATAAGCACACATGCTGGCTCCTGCCCTGCATGTAGTGTGTAGTACATGAAGCTGGTCTGGGGCACAGACTGAGCATGGTGGGCAATGTCAGTAGGGGTCATGCATTGCATGTGGCACCCGTAACAGTCCAGCCCTGTGTGATGACTTTGCACATTAGGCCAGTCTGTGGGCCTGATCTGGACTGGCCCCAGTTCCAGCATGCAACACAGCTCCATGCTCTGCATGCAGTTCATGCCAGACCAGCTCCAGCCCCATGCAGCATACAGCAGCCCTAGCCCTACATGGTGTACAGGACCAATCTGAGACACATACTGCATGGGGCACCTGCTCCATGCATGCTGAATCTGGCATGCATGCTTAGTCCAACCTGGGCAATTCATGAGCATGTGCCCTAGATTAGCCGTGTGCAGGCTGGCTTCAGCTGATGGGCTCTGCACACTGCATACAGTATGCAGGGTTGTGACCAGTGTGTATTGCATATAGTATACCAGTCTGATCCACGGGCAGCGTTCCAGGCTGGATCTGGCCCATGGGCAGTATATTTGATATCCCTGCCTTGGACTCATCACTGTGTGCTTTTACTTTTAAATAGGTATTTAATACATTGATGGCAGGGACTGATTGGTTATAAGGGGAAGTAAATGTAAAGATACTGTAATAGATGGCTTTATCAATAGGAACAATATTGCTAAATGATCAGGTTAACGCATTTGCAGTGAGGCAAATCCTTAGGGTGAGCATGTTGTAGTATGGATGCCAAAACTCCAGTGTCACTCTGAAAGACAGTAATGGGACTTCAAGCTCCTTGACATAGTGAAATAAGCTATCAAACTCCCATTTTATAAAGAAATCACATTTAGATCATAAGGTAAGAACTGCCATTTACTGGGTCAGACCATATGTCCATCTTGCTCACTATCCTGTGCCACACAGTGGTGGAAAGTGGATACTGAAAGGGAGACTGAACAGGGTATAACCAGGGTTTTTTCCCCACTGTTTCTGTCTCTCAGGTTTTTGATGTTTGATCTCTCAGATTTTTTCAGTTTTGTTTTTTCCTGATAGGAAAAAAATCTGATTACAGGGAGGTTACACAGCTTACCAGGATCAGCATTTCTGACATGGGTATTAAAGGATTTCCTAGGGAATATAAATTAATTGAGGCCTGGCCATTCAAGAAAGCTGGGAATGCAATAATTTTTGTCAAGGTCATTTATATTAATCCATAAGATCGGATGTTATGATTGGAAGAGTACAGGGAGAGAACTTCTATAAGTAATAATGTTCAGTTTATTTGTCTATGTTTTCATACAAAAGTTTAGCAGAGGCCCATAACTAGTTAACTGGAACATGTAAATAAAGCACTTGTCAGGCAACATCTATAGATAGCTCTAGTAATGAAGATGACAAAAGGTACAGAAAATCCAAGTAGTTTCTGGGAAAATGCTCACTCATTAAGTAAGATTGTTTTTGTTTCTGTTCAAGGTTTTAAGAGTTGTTGACCAATATGAAGACTTTAAGGAAGTTACAAAATAGTTTAGAGGCAGGGGGACTGTCCTAGCAGCACTGAGAAAGTCTCCATTGTTCTTTGATATAGCAGCGTATAGGAGGTGGAAGTATGGCATTTAAGCAGCATAATGAATGGAAGGGAAGGGTGGAGATTTTTTGCAACAGCTAGAGAAGTAAGAAACCCAAGGACATGAAGTTCCTTAAACAAATGAGGCAGCTTTAATGAGGAAAGCATGACACTGCATCACAGTAATTTCTTTGAAAAGAATGTGGGGAATTTTAATAAATGAGGTCATTTAAGAAAAAAATTAGATGGGGCAGTGAAGTTGTAGAAAACAGGCTGTCGGGGACAGTCTGGAGGGTATCAAGGAAGTTACCAGTAGGGGCTTGTTTTTATTTAGCTCTGTGAAGTGAATCCTTGGAGGAAGAACACAAGCTAGAATGGAGCAGGAGTGGAGAAGAAAGACTCTGGGTGCAGAAGTGCAGCTCCCAGCTGTAACTCAGAACAATTGTTGCAAAGTGTTCTGAGTTACAGTTTTACTGCAGACCAAACAAAAGTTCACAGTTCTTGGGGGGGGGGGCTGGAATCTACCTAGAGGTTGGGAACCTGCAGCTGGGTTCCCACAGCAACAGCCAGGCTTTCGGACAGTGCTTGCTGTTTTCAGAATGAGAGGGGGAAAGGTAAGGTGACCACCTTTTCAAAAGGGGAAGGCACATGTCCACTTCCCCCCACCCCCATCCCCACCACCGCACTCCTGCCTTTGCTACTGGCATGGCTGGACCAGAGCTGAGTGGAGCAGATGTGTGCTGCCCTCTGTGGCCTTGGGGCTCCCTGTTCTGCTGCCTTTCCCTTGGGGCCCTGCTCTGGCCGTGTGCCCCCTGCCTACCTAGCAGCAGCAGGGGGCATAACGCCACGCCACAGCCCCCACTGCTGCTAGGTGGGTAGGGGGCGCCTTACCATGGTGGCACACTCAGCGCGGGCCCCCCAGGGCAGGGCAATAGAGCGGGGAGCCTTGAGCCTGCAGCAGTCAGTCTGCATCTGCCCCATGCACAAATCTGGGGGGCACATGCCCCTTATCCACTGGACGATCCACCTGTGGCTCCTTCCTGGTCTCTGTCCCAGCCCCATGAACTGCCTTGGCTGGGCAGTGACCTCAGCTGCTGCCCCACTCCCTCCCTCACTGTGGGGTGGGGCTCCAACACACCTGCCCCACCCTCCAAGGGGGTGCTGAAACCCCCCCCAGATTGAACTCTCTCTGCTCCCTTTCCCCACTCCCGTTCTGAAAACAGTGACAGGCTGGGAGCTTCGCAGACATAAGTTCCAAAAGATGCTACTTTTGTCTGCATTTTGAAATGTCTTTAGCTAATGCATCATCCAATGAGGGGTCAGATTTTCACCCAATGAGCCATTTTTTAAGCTGTCTGCAACTGTGCACTTGTGTTTGGTTAAAGCTGTAAACTCTTTTCTGTGGCCAAATTGGGCAAAAATTGTCACTTCTGTCTGCACCCTTTATGGCAGAAGAAATTATTAGGATTAGGTTGGCTAGGAGGGAAGAAGAGGGATAAAAGATGCTGCAAGAGGAAAATTCAGTGAAAAGAGGGTGGAGCAAGTTGGTTTTATAGGATCAGGTCTTATTAGACTGCATGCATTGGCGGGAGAGACTTTTTGGGCAACTTGTGGAGAATCCATAGATTTATGCAAAGCATAGTTACAGGGCAAAAGGAGAGACTTCTAAGGCTCCTGGCACATGTTCATTTAATGGCACTGTGTGATCTGTTCTGTGATCCCAATGATCTCACCTCCTGCCATGCCATACATGCATGGCAAAATGTGCAATTTTGGGATCAGATCCAAATTGTGCCATTACTA